AGTCGAATCATGAGGTATAGTAAAACATTACATTCACTTGTTCTCATAATTTACCAAAATGATATTCTTTTAATTAATTTAATTTGTTCTTGAATGAACTCAGGTTTATATATGTGTCGTGCCCACACACTGTTGATGTGCTTTCAGAAACTGTATTAAGCAACTTGATGGACTGGAATATTGATCGTAAGTTACTAATTTTGACGGTAGATAATTGCACCACAAATGATGCAATGATCAGTATTGTGTTAAGTCAACTTTGTACTCGTTCTCTTGTATTGAATGGTGAATTTTTTTCATATGAGGTGTTGTGCACATATATTAAATCTTATTGTGAAGGATGGTTTGGACGTTATTAGTGGTAGTGTTGAGAAAATTCGTGATAGTGTTGCTTATTGGACAGCCACGCCAAAGAGATCTGAAAAATTTGAGCTATTTGCACGTTAGTTGAAAATTGATTGTGATAAAAAAAAATGGTTCTTGATTGTAAAACAAGGTGGAATTCAACATATTTGATGCTTAGTATTGCTTTGATTTATAAGGATGTTTTTCCGCGTTTGAAACAGAGAGAGTCATGATATAAATGTTTCCCTAGTAATGGTGATTGGAATTTAGCAAAAGAAATATGTGAGAAGTTAAAGGGTTTTTTTTGAGGTTACTGAATTGTTTTCAGGAACAAAGTATTCAACTGCTAATCTCTTCTTTGCAAATGTTTATGATATCAAACTGTCGTTGTATGAGTGGCTTGAATCTCCTCATGTGGAAGCTCAAATGATGGCAACCATTATGATGGAAAAGTTTAATAAGTATTGGAGCGATATTCATGGAGTTTTGGCTTTAGCCGCAGCGTTGGATCCGAGGTATAAGATGATGTTAGTTAAGTTTTATTATCCTTGTATTTTTAATCACAATATTGCAAGTGAGATTGACAAAATATATCAAGTTTGTGGCAAGTTGGTGCACGATTATCAGAAAAAGAATGATTCAAGTGGGTCTTTAGCTAAGTCTTCTACTTCTTCTTGTCAAACCGAGACATCAAGTGCTAATAATAAATTAGATCACATGGTGGATTTTTATAAATGTGTTTCTAATGTTGAAGCCCCTAGTAGAGTGAAAACCGAGCTTGGTACTTTTTTGGACGAGCCTATATTGCCTCGATCGGATGACTTTGATATATTGACATGGTGGAAAGTGAATTCAATCAAATATCCGACTTTATCTCGAATTGCGAAAGATATTTTGGCCATCCCGATATCTACTGTGGCATCCGAATCTGCTTTTAGTACTAGTG